AAGCTTTATGATTTTCCTTCTTTTCCTTTGCCGGAAAAACTTTTCACTGATTGAATATGCAGCGGGCGACCAAATGAAATTATGGAATTTATTTAGTCTTCTATTTTTGCACTTAGGATCAACTTTAGCCGCAACATTATGTACATTATTTTTGCCCGTCAGCCGAGGATAAATATATGTTGATAGGGATAAATGGGAGTAAAGCCAGAGCGAAGGCAGAGTGAAGGCAGAGTGAGTCAGCGACCGCAGACCGCTCTCATTAAATATACAGCCGAGTGAAATGTCAACGTGGAAATTAATTAACTCGTCGCGAAAGCCAGAAACTCTGGTCTCCGCAGGACTCTGGCTGCTCATATTTCAATCAAAACTGCGACAGCTGCAAGCCAGCGGCATAAGCTCGAACATAATTTTGGCAACGGTCCATCAACTGTTTGGTTTGGGCCAGGATTTGATGCCACCTCCTGGCAGTGGCGGTGGCGTCTCATCAATATTTACAAGCGGCGAGCCTCGAATTTGTCACCCCGACTAAACGAGGGCAAGAGGAGTGGGTTGGTCTTTGGGTTGGAAAGTTAATTGCCAAATGACACAATTAATGCTCCGGAGTCGCAAAAAGGCCGCAAGAACACACCCACACACAGTCGGGGGCCAAAAGGGGGAGGCGAAGGCGGCTTAACCTCAAGATTAATGTACGGCAATTAAACGTTTAAGTGTTGATTAATGTGACTTTCTGTTCCTGGCCAGGAGAGATGCACGAAGGATGGCATCCGGCCAGCTGGCCGCCTGTCAATCTCCACCAAAAGAGACGAGAGCCCAACTCAAGCAGCTTGGTCTGGCCTTTTTTTCCCCTCAATTTTCTCTGATTGTTTGGGAGTTAAGAAGAAGGTTATAGCAAAAGGAAAAGTCTTGGAAAAATTGGTAATTTCTTTTATAAATAATATGGCTTATGTTTCTTCCTTCTGGCTACATTTTAAAGAGTAGCAAACATTCTGTAAAACTCTTAAATCTTACTGAGTATAAAAAATGTCGAGCTATTTGAAATTGGTACAGAAAAAATCCTTGGTTTTTTCCCTTGAAATTCGCCTTGCCATAAATTCCTTGAGTAGGCACTGCAACAACTCAAACTCAAACGGCAAAGACATTCGCATTTATCATCTTTACGGGTTAACTGCCAAAAATGCTTTGAGGCAGTGGCGCAGCGAAAAGGGGATTGAAGAATGGAAAATAGAGAATTGGAAGGCTTAGAGACTTGGGGAAATGAAGTGGGAGGAGAGTAGAGCAAACAGAGTGGAATTGCTCCATGGCTCACCAAATCCACAAAGTCAAACAATGTTGTTTGCTTTACTAGTTTTATCATTGCTCCTCCTGCTTGAAGCTGCTGCTCCAGCTTCTGCTCCTCTTGATCCCTCTCCCTCCTTTATATTTCTGGCCATTTTCTTTCATCCCATTTTCCAATGAAAACTCTGCTGCTACTGCGTTTATCTTGTTGAGAAAGGTGAGCAGAAACATGGAGCATAAACTATGAATGTCAGATAAACAGCCGTCACTTTCACAGGAGCCGGAAAAGCGGATCTGAAGGGTTCGCATTAGTGGGTGAGCGCATTTTTAAAACCATTAGAACCCTGCTCTTGCTGCTGCTCCTGCTTTAGCCTGCTTCTCCACCCCAAATCCTGCTTCGGTCCTCCATAAAGCGTGGACTTTATTGGCAACCCGGCATTGTGAGCACACTTTTTGACGCAATCGTAAATTTTCCCAAAACACACAAAACCAAACCAAACCGAACTGAACCGACTGGGGAGAAATAAAAAATGCCATTCAAGCCATTCGATTGGCTGGGGGAATAGATCAAACAATTTTCTAGCCATAATAGAAAAAGGAAAACTCAAACCAGACAAGTTTTTAACTATTTCTTAGGTGTGTTTATAATAGGAAAAAGTTTAGAGTTTAATTAGCAAAAAAAATCTGCTAAAGTTGGAAGAAAGTTTGGAAGAAAAACTAAGCGGATTTAAGACATTAAAATTATTTAATAACTTTTTGAAATTTTATAAAATTAAAAAAAAAATATAGAAAGACTCGCCTGTTGATGCTGATCAAGAATATATATAATTTTCAAGGTCTAAAAATACTCCTTTACTGCCTTTTAAGCTTCTGACTACAATTATAAAACCCCAAAAGTGTATAAAAATCAAATAAATTACCCAATTTCTTTCTTCCAATTCTTTTAATTAAAAATAACTCAAGCTATTTCAACTGTCAATAGTTTATTTATAGCAGAAGCAAGCAAAAGTTCTCACCTAAATCTGCCAGCCTGAGAATTTATACAAATTAAACTGACACATTTTTGCCCAAACTCTCTTTCGAAAAGAGAAATAAATTCTCACCTCAAATCCGAAGCACTTTTTGGTGTTCATTTTATTTAGACATTTTACATACGGAATTAGCTCTATGTTTTCCCACATTATGTCTTCATTTTTTTGGTTTGTCCTTGGTAATATTTTATTTAACAATTGTAATACTGGCCCAACCTAGTTGGGGGACCAGATTTATCTCCAAGGAAGCAATAAAATATTCAAGACACAAGCATATCAAGTTACGATTTGCCTGTCCTTGCACTTTTTCTACCAATTTCACAAATTTCCATCAACTTGGCTTGGCTTGGCTTGGCTCCTCCTGCTGACAGGCGAATATTTCCCTGGCCTGTCAAGGATCTCTGCCATGGATAGCAAGTCCTAGTGGCTGGTGGAAAACAAATGACTAGAAGAGATTACAGCAGCATTTCTGCTGATTTTCAAATGAAAATTTAATGAATGCTCCACACAGATATGTAGATATACATACATACATGGGAGACTGTACCCTTGGCGGGTGCCAGAAATCGCAAAACTGAAAAGTGTTTTTTTCTTTTTGTTTCTGTAGAAGTTCCCCCCAAGGGCAGGCGCCACTTAAATATTCATCAGCGAAAACAACAAAACTCTTAGCGGGAAAATGCAAAACTGCAGAACATTTTCGCGGCATGTTCATTCACTAAATTAGTTGAAGCATACATCCGTGAGATACGGTTCTCCGATGATGATGAATGGGAGCGCCGGTTAATTGATACCGAAAATTCCCAAATGAATTCCCATTGTTCGCTGTGTTCGCTGTTCGCTGTTTTGGCCATAATGGTTGCCGCACCAGGTAGTTGGCAATTAAAAGGCTTGAGCCCTGGATTCAGCTTCTGATTCATCGCCATTGTGTGTGATGTCTTTAATTAAATTTGCCTTTAGCCGCAAATCCTTTTATGACGGCACCATTTTACTCCCGGCTTCCTTTTGGCATTTGACTTTCCCTTTTCCCCAGCTTTCTCTTGGCCAGGATGTGGCCGCAGGGGGAGGATGGGTGTTCGTTCTGTGGATTCCAAGGATGCAACCGCAATTGCCCTCGGGCTCCGGCGCGGCATCTTGTGATTTATTATTAAACATGAATATGAATTCCAGGATATGCTAGGCCAAGGAAAAGAATACCGCGCAAGGCGTCAGACCTGTTGGCATTTTTATGCCAGCGTTTTTATGATTAATTAAAATTTACGCCCAAGCAAATGAGAGGGAAACAGAGGCATAAATATTCCTAGCATCAATTCCTTCTGATGGCCATCAACTTGGGTGATTAAGATTAAGAGGATTGTCATAAAGAAGAACCCAATTTGGGCAACTAATTGGGGCCTCTTTTGGGCCTCTTTTGGGGCCGAGTGACGCGGAAAAACTATGCCAAAAAAAAGGGAAAAATAAAGAAAGAAAAGCAAAGGAAAAGGAAAAAAGTAAGCGCATTTCATATTTATTAAAGCAATAAAATAAAGTAGCAGGCAACAACAAGGGCCAAAACCAGAGTTGTTGGCCAGATAACGTGTCCGGAACCCAGAGAAATATCACCGTGTCACCCACACACGCACACACGCACACGTCACACTTCCCACACACTTCCAAAAACACACCCACACTCGTCCATAAATCGAGGAAGCCTGCCCCATTGTTGCTTTGGTTGCGGTTAACGTGCAAATTTGTTGCTTCCCCTCACGATTGGCCTACGGATTTGGCCTATGAAGGCAGCCAGTAACATGGGGACATGGGACTCGAAGTGGGAATAAGTAAGGCCGAGCAGGGCCATAAATTTAAAATTAACCCTTTAGGAGCGCAAGCCCTCTGACCTTCACCTCCTTTCCCAGGAGCCTGCTCTTGGCGTGGGCATAAACCCGGGCAGTGGAGCTGCAGATCTCCTCAAAGGACCTTCGGAAATTAATCGCCTTTGCCAGGTGGCCAGCAAAATCTTCTCTTGTGCATTTTAAATCGCTGAAAATAATGCCGTCTCGACTGCTTTTAATTAATTGAATGAGTTTTCTGGCATTCTCTCTCAATCGAAATGAAATAATTTTCAGCATATTGGATTGCAGGGAGCAAAGTTGTCAATGCAGCAGGAGTACAACAGGGTGGAAAAGGAGAGAAGCACGCCAAACAATAATAAATAAAATGGGAAACACGCTGTTGCCCTCGGGGCTTCGGTAAAACAGGTCCCCGAAATGGTTGTGAAATGAGGGAACCCTCCGAATGGCCAAAGGCAGCGATTCCTGGCAGGTTCAAGTGGCTGCGCTCCTTCGCCAGTCAAGACAATTCGAAAAATGCTTTTAAAAGGAAATCAGTAAAGGAATTTCGCTTATGGGCAACTGATTGTGCCATCGACTCGGGCAGAAAGTTGAACAAGTATTGTAGCAACCGACCGACCGACGGACGGAAGCGATTTTTTCCTTCTCGCCGCCGACGCCGCCACACTTGGAAAATTGAATTGTTTTAGATTTTCCCTCCATTTTCGTGCTCTCTTTCGATTTCGGCCATGCGAAGCGAATAAATCAAATTGGATTTTCTTGTGCACTTAATTCTCCAACGAACGCTGACCGAAATCCGGAAGTGAACCCAAAAACTCAATCAGTAGCCATTGCCTGAAAAGTTCATTAGTAGGCTGGCAGCATTTACTCACAGCCATTATCATTCTACGGGAAATAAGAATAGAAATCGGATTCATTTGAAAATGTCGTATATACGAAATTTGCTGGAATCGTCTATTAAAAGAAGAGACCAAGGAGCCGACTGGCTGCAAAGCTGCTTCTATATCTTCAGCTTGAAAACTGGTTGCCGAATGATAGCCCTCATCGAAGCTTTAATCAGTGGAATGCAAATATATTTAAGTCGTGAGGTATGGATTAAGTCCCTAATATATTCCTTAAATCCAAAACTAATTTATAGAATTTACTGGTATTCCCAGGAATCCCATTTTATAGACCATCCTTACTTGGGCAATGCCCTCGAAACGTTGACTCTTTTGAATTCTTTGATACTCCTTATGGGAACCGAGTTGGTGAGTTAATATAAATACAAATTAAGGCTTTAATTTCAAATTAAAATTTATCAAAATGAATGTTACAAATTACAGGCCCATATACCCTGCCTTATCCTTTGGCTTTTCATAACTATGCTGTCCAAGACAATCGACTTGATAATACACCTAATGGAAGGCATTGATCTCACGTCCATGTTTTTTCTATGCACTTTTCTTAGTAAGTCAATTTAATTATAATTACATATTAAATTAGTTATTAAAGAGTTTTTGTTACAGTCATTAAACTCTATTTTTGCCTAGTGGTTGCATCTTTAATTTTGAAATTGCAAGACAAACTTCGTGCCAGTCTCACGGAAATGGAAGTCCTGTACAAACAAGACCAAGAGGTTTAAGAGGACGGAAAATTGTCTCACCAACAAATATGAATATATTTATTTTAAGTACAAATAAAGTAAAATGTATAACAGCTTACAAGCTAAGATAAAAGGCTATTTATACAAGAGTAAATAGATTTCATGCCTGGCCACTACAACCAATTTTTGAGCTAAATATATATATATATGCAGAGATTGCTACTTGAACATGCTAGTATTATTATTATTATTACAGCTAAGTAATTGCATTTGCTTTTGCATTTCGGTTTTATAGTTTGCAGATATTGACCCGGCGATAACTCAAAAATTGATTGCACTGGCAAATTCGAACAGGAAACAAAGGTGGAAACGCTCGTTATATCGTTCACATAACGTAAGCAAAACCAAATATGGATGGTAAATATCGAATTTGATTCTTACTTTGGTGTACGGCGATTTTTTGGGCGGCTCTCGCGAGGAGTTCGCCCCGGATGCCGTGGGCGTGCCGCGTTTGTTAGTGCGATTCTTTTTCAGAACGATAACGCGCATGGTGGTGGGCAGATATATGTATATATGGGCTCTTTATATAGTACGTGGGGGGGTGGTAGGTGTGTGTACGAGTACGAGTGATACGGGTACGCAAAGTGTTCTAAACAATTTCAATCCCAATCGAGGTGTCGCTCTGATTTAGCCAAGAGATTTGGCCGTTCACAAACGGGTTTCCACTCCACGCGACATCGAATAAGACTAAGGATGCGGAAACGGTGGCGAATGCGGATGCGGAAGTGGTGTAGCAGTAGTAGTAGTAGTAGTTGTTGTTGTTGTTAAGGTGTGTTTTACAAGTACGTGTGTTTTTAGGTGCGATTTACGACTGCACCCACGAAATGACAAAATGCAAAGCGAGCCGAGCCTCTAGCTCCGTTTAGATTCTTACATAGTTGATGTGGCCATTACTAGTAAAGATTATATATTGATAGCTACAACTAGGTTTTAGCAAAGAGTATTTGTTATTTACAGTACATAGAGTTTAGCTAAGTTTTATTTTTGTTAATTTCTTATTTTGCAAAAATCTCTGATTGGTGACTGGTTTTTATTTTCGCTTTCAAGAATTTCCACTACTTGTCTAGTATTTATTTTCGAATTTTGTTTAGAAAGAAATGACAAGCAAGCAAGAGTTGAAAGAAATTCTGGCAGTGTTTTGACGAGTTCGAATTCGTTTTGGGCGCACGGTGCGTATGCGTGATTGGTTAATAAAGCTAAGAGTTGGTTAACATGGACTCTGGACTAAGTAGTTGGTTGCATTACTAGTTTTGGATCAGTTAGTTACTTACGCTGAACTCGAAATTCAATTTATCTTTGTTCTTGTGTGTGCCTGAGCCTGCTCTGTGGGGGTTTTTTTATCTAATTTATATATGTCTCGCCTAGAAAAGCCTGCCCTGAACTGAGCTCTAAAATTATGGCATATATATTTAAATATATATTAGAAGGATATATATGAATGGTGTCTGTTGGGGGAGTAGTTTTCTTTAGTTAATTTGCTGGATTATATTTTATTTTGTGGGGTTTCTGGTTGTCATTCTTCTCGGTTTCGGTTTCGGTTTCTCGGCGGCGGCCAATCACACCTCAGAAGCGACGCGAGCACGACTACGGCGACGAGGACGATGACAACGACGACGGCGGCACGGCTACGGCACTACGGTTACGATTACGGTTACGGCTATGGCTACGTCTACGGACACGGATACGGCTCAGCTACGACTACGGCTAATTTGTCGAACGGATCAACCAGCTGGTGCGGAGCAGTAGACCCGCGTTACGTATACGTCGGAATGCAAGCACGTGACTGACTCGGAGCAACGGTTGCACGTTGCTTTTATAAACAGGCAACATCGGAGGTGGAAAAGTCTGGCAACGCTCCTTGGCATGCAATTTTCCACACACTGTCTCTCTCTCTCGCTCTCTCTGGGAAACAGTTTTCCGAGCTGTGTTCGGCAACAGCTGATTCACGGAGCCTACGAGGTTGAGGTTACAGTTCTTCTAAGCCCCCTCAAAAGTCTACGTAAATATGGCCACAGAAAGAAGTTCTGCACCTTGACTCTTTGGAGAAGGATACAGTAAAAAAATCACACACTTTTACAGGAAAATCAAGATATCACTAAGAGCCATTGGGGGAAAAAGCACACTGAAATCAAGCCATTATCGCCGCACTGACCACGCACAAGCTAATCTACCGCAGGACTAATGCCACAGGACCAAACAAGCGAAAGCGAAGGACAGACCTAGCCCACACTGAGTTCTTTGGTCACATGCGCAGGAGACAGATGCCAGGACTCAGCTGTTTGACCCACATACGAGCGCCAGTTCATGTGTACTCTCAAGCGTGCAAAAGGGGGCGAGACCCCGCCTAAAGGCAGCCCCCATCTAAGCCATGAAAAGCCCCCGGAAAAGCTAATAGCAACAGGTTCATGGAAAGCTGTGAAGAAAGCTTCCTGTAAAGCAAACTTATGTAATTTCAAAATGGTTGGACTTGTGCAAGCTTTTGCTGGGTAGGTTTTCCCGCTAAGCTTTGACGCTTTTCACCTTGGAAAATGGGAAAAATTATGGTTATAAGACTCACCTGAGCTCGTATGGCCGCCAAATGGATTTGCTTGGCCCTTAGGTCGAACTTCTTCATGGACAAATCCTCCTGCAGCTCATTGACCTTGTTGTACAGTTGGCCCTCGATGCCGCGGGTTTGGGTGCGATTCAGGGCATCAATGGAGTCCTAAGGAGGCAATTAATAATATATTTATGAAGAAAAATAAATAATTTTAAATTTAGTTCTATAAACTTCAAGCTAGCTTTCTTTAGAGGTTTTTGGAAATGTGGTTTCTAAGTAGGCTGGCCCTTAAAAGTTCACCAGAATTCTATCATAATATTCCTTTTGTTATTCCTTTAAAAATGTTTAAAATTAAAACCAAACTTTGCTGGCAATATATAAGTGCAGCTTGGCAAAAGTCTCCCCGACTATATAGTGCTTTTTATTTTCTTGATTTGGAGAGGGGCTGCCAGCTAATCGCTTTTTATGGAGCCTTAGTGAGCTTAATGAAGATCTGTTGGACATATTATCTAGTCTACCAATTGGACACCAGGTCATTGTTTCCAGATCCCAAATGGGTATATTTTATATTTAAAGATCAAAAGTACGAACTCGTTTATCACTACACACACTATCAATTCCATGTGGGTGTATATCTTATGACTCTACTTAATTCCGTGCTGCTTTTCTTGGGAGTAAAATGGGTAAGTCGGGAAGTTAGGAGTTGGAGTTAATATAATTTAAATAATTAAAATCAAACTCCTCCCCCAGGCTCATGTGGTCTTTCTCTATTATTGGATTTACATTTCCCTCCTCACCTGGACCATTGGACATTGCCATGCGCTGTTAGACAACTTGGACTTTTTTCAAATATTTATATTTTCAATACCAACATTTAGTAAGTATATTAAAGCGGAATTCCGTAAATAGCTCAACTAATTAGACATTTAACAGTGCTTCAATATTATTTTCTCATAATAATTATGTCATTAATTTGGAAAATCTGCGAGAAGACGAATGCTAGTGTCCAGGAAAAAGAAGAACCAGGCTTGCAGCTCGTTGAATAATTTGAATTTTGAAGGTTAAGAATGGTCTAATTTAAAACTACGATATAAAGACTTCATATATATATGCTTTAATAAATTAATTTAATTAAAGGAACATAAAAATCTTCCCAATAAATCATTTTATACAATCTAAAAACAACCCACTTTTCTTTTTTTTTTTTTCTCCAATCTGTAAAGATTTTCTTTCGGTGCCTGGATATCCCCATCTTACCTGCAACTGACGTATTTGCAATTCCAATTCAATGGCCTCTCGCTTCAGCGACTCCAGTGCCGAGCGCTGCGACAAGGTGGAGTGCCGGTCAAAGACCAGCTCGTTCCTCAGACAAGGCGTCATCTCCTGGAAAAAACACATCCCAGAGGTGGTAAAGATTACAGTTTCTCTCTCTCTCTCTCTGTGTCCGCCCAGCTACTCACATTGTGGTCACCCGCCTCATCGCCAGGCTCGCCTTGGGGTGGGGCAAACATCCGCCTTGGAACCTTCTGAGCCTGCGATGGCTGGGCCAGCAAGCGGACGAAGTTCACCAGATCCTGTTGAGGCGAGACCGCACTGCATTGGCTGGTCAGGCTGCTGTACCGCTTGGCCTGGTCGCTGGCCTGCAAAGGAAAGGGTCTTTAGAAACCAAAACAGAATTCATTTTCTGTCACAAAAAGGTGAATGTGCCTAGCCACAAAGATTTCAAGCTGAAATTGTGACAAGCGGTAAACACAGAGGGGGAAAATAGTTCGTTTTACCTTTAAAAGTTGCTACAATTACCCTACTGTTACTCTACAAAAACACCCCCAGCTGAGTAGAAAAAAAACGTCAACAATACTATCCCGCTTTGCCCCCAAGCATTAGGCAAATTACCACAGCAAATTGCTACTCTGGGCAATTATTATAATCGTGTACAAATTATTTTCCAGGAAACAAAAGCGTCGCAAAAATTAACTCGAATTCCAGGCGCCTGAACAAATGGCAACCGTGCTGTGGGACAGGAAACCACCTGCTGCAGAGATAAATCACTGCTCAACCCTAAAACCCCCAACCCTCCTCTTAGTGCTAGGACTCACCTTGCCGGCAATTACATCGGCGCCCTGCAGCAGCGAATCGGACACAATGCCGCTCAGGTCGTTGTGGATCTCCTCCAGCTCCTGCATCTGCTGGGGCAGGGTGTCGCAGTGGTAGGCCTCCAGCATGCCATTGGTGGCATGCAGTTGCTGCACGTACGCGTTGTGGGCGTCGATGTATTCGGTGAGCGAATGCTGGCTGGGATTCTGTCGGTGGGCCTGATGGCACTGCTTGTAGTCCATCCGGCACTGGGAATGTGGCAAATGTAAGGGTTTAAATGGTTATTGGGAATGGGTCCTCAATTTATGGGTAATAACACGCACAGGCACAACACAATGGGCAACGGTCTACAGGGCGTATGCGTGTTTTGTGTGGAACGAAAAGATTGTTAAAGGGTAACCACCTAAAGAGAGATGGTTTTTTATAGCAATATTGAAATGGTATATCTAATGGAATTTTCTGCCAAATTGGCATGCCATTGCATATTTTATTTTAACTATAAACATTAAACTTTTATATTCTTAAAGAGGGGTTTAATTATTAAATTAAATTCGCGACACGCAGCTATAAATGAAAGTTATTAAAAATATGACAAAGGCAATTCATTTAATTAATAGAAACTAATGTGTTATTAAAAGAAGCCTTTTTAAGGATTATGTAAAGAGTTTTTGATTTAAAAAAACTACTACTTTCTGTTAATTTTATCGCAGAAATTTATTTAAATTTTAATGTTTTCAAGAAAATCAAACAAATTTCGTGGAATTTCATAGTTTCCTGACTCTATTAATGCTTAATCACTAAACCAAATAGAAAGCATATCCTTCCAAGTCATACCTTCAGTGTTATTATCCTTCAAAGACCAGTTCATTCTGATTTCCCTGGGTGCACTCTAATAACTTTTCCTTAATTAGCTACCCACACACTCACCTTTGACAGCTTCTCTTCAGTCTTTGCGATAATAGTCTCAAAAGACTCCCTGTGTGTGAATATTTTACGGCTTTGAACTTTGCGATGAAAGGATTTATCCAGCATTGGTCTCGACACCTGCGGGTAAGGTTAAATAAATTATGTAAGCCGGCAACCACAGAAAAAAAGAAGCAAATCATCGTGAAAAATGAAAATTAAATGTGTGTAACAACAAGAAAAAAAAAACCCAGGGAAAGGCAAGGGAAAACAACAAACATTATTCGACACTCGAAAAACACATGTCATTTCCCAAGGCCCCCAGCGAGGCCACGCCCCCACTAATTAACCATAATTAGAGTCTGCTTTTTATAATGCAAATTGGGAATTTTTTGTTGTTGCCTTAATTTGAGAGACAAACAAACGCATGTGGTTTTCCACACAGCCGATCGATGCGGTAACTGGCACAAATAAAATTATCATATATTATTATTAATAGAGAAATCTGGCTTTCGGTTTCTAAGGGCACAAATGAAAATGAATCAGCGAAGGAGCATTCCGCCTGAATTCCAACACTAAATTTAATTAAAAAAATCTTTCAACTGCATTCCGAAGCTCTTTGGCAGTTCTATTTTCATTGAAAGGCAACTGAATATTTAACCAGACACGAAATGGCCATTAACCCATTAAGATTTCAGCAAGTTTTTGGCGAGAAAGGCTGTCATTTAATGGAACTTGATAATAGTTAAAGGTAAGTTTTTGTATTGATTATTGAAATAATTTTAAAAATATTAAAAATGAAAAAGAAAACATTATAAAGTATTAAAATATTTTAAAATCGTCATTACTAATTTATAAGAATATTTTATATATCGTTAATTATCGATGAATCTCAATTTATCGCCTTGAGTGTCATCCCTAGCAAACTCACCTGGCGGGAGAGGACGCTGGCCACGTCGTTGCAGGCCTGTGAATCCGTTTCGACCTCCTGCAGGAATGTTTCCCATGCCTGAAAAATGGCCAAGTGGCAGGCGGGTCTGCAAAACATATCGTATTTTGGTATCAAAATCTTGTCAATAATATTAACCTTTGCACACTCACCTTTCTTTTCGTAATTCGGCATTCTTTTTGCGATAATTGGACACCGCAACTTGAAGGGCAGTCGCGTGCTCTTCATACAAACGGGATAGTGTTTCGGAGAAATCGGATACTGTAATTGAATTAAATTCAAAGTCAAAAGAAAGCTGGGAAAATAAAACCAGAAAACAGTCGTCACGCTTTATACGAGAGAGAGACGAAACTACGTAAGCATTAGACGCAGAGTAACTGAGCCGGAAACGGAAATGGCAGATGAAGAGGGAGCTGCAATTTTACAGCCATAGTTTAAGTAAGACATTTGCCATTGCTCTTACTTTGTGTTTCCCCCACGGCAGAAAAAAACACTCCAAGTTTATGTGCAGTAAAACTCGAAAGAGAGAGCTCTTTAAACGGGCAGTCACTGCCTGTCAGGATAATCCATCATATTTACGATTATTGTGCCATATACGTATGAATATGGATGTGTGTCTCAGGTTTAGCATTCGTTTGGCTTTCAGCCTCTTAAGCTCTTAACCTCTTAACGTTTGAACCTGCAGGTTTATAGACCCAACAGGTTGCTGTTGTTGTTGACAAGGCCCTGAAAACTCTAAAGTTTTCCTTGTTTCCCTAGCCTTTAACTTTAATTTAATCAATATTTTCCTCGGCTCAGCAAAAATGTTATTAAAAACTTTTGATGCTGCGGAATGAAACGTGTAGTTCTCTGTGTTTTCTACTGGGACAACTTTCAGTGACAGCGCCGTAATTCAAAGTCAAAGTTATGTCGAAAAGTTGCAGCTGCGCCGGATATTGTACGCCGTGTGTGTGGATAAACACACTCAAAGATGAGTTGGTTGGAATTTACGAGGCTTTGACTGGGCTAAGGGTACTCCGAATAACAGATTTATCTCTCCATGTGACGGCTCGACACGGAGACAATTGGCAATGGAAATCAATAAGCCATAAAAGCGACAACGACGAACTTATCAAATAAAATGCTGCCACATAAATTGCTTCTGTTGTTCCCCTGTTTTCCCTTTTCGAAGGTGCAGGCACAGGTGTGTGTGTAAGCCGAAACTTATCCTGCTGATTCCCACACGCTTCAGTTTTTCCTGATAGTGCTGGCAAAAAAAATGGGAAAATCTGAACATAAACACTATGAATAATTTAGTAGTTTTTCTGAATTTATATGAAATTTAAGCATAACCTTAACATATCAACATTTTGAGGAACTTAAAAATCAATTTTAATATTTTTTAGGGTATATATTACAATGTTCCTTGGCATGAATGCTCTCTATAACGAATTTATAAGGAGCTATGTTTTCATAAAAAATTTTCTTAAAGTCGTTTTATTATATCAATATTTTTAAAACAAACAAAACTGACTTTGAAGCTGTTGTTTTTAAAGAAAATATAAATATTGTTGCCCTGCAATGACTAAAGATATATATATATATCCTATTTCTTATCCTTATTAATTCTTAATTAATAAATAAATTATTTATACCAAAGGCACAAAGTAAAGTCCAATTTAGCAGCACACTTAATAAAAAAAATCTCCCTTTTGGCCCCAAAAAGGACCTACTGGCAGCACTAACCGTCAGCCCACCTGCCGTCTTGCGTGTCAGCTGGTGGCATGTCGTCTCCCGTGGCGGGGCTACGAATTGGATATGACTTACACACACACTCTCACACACAACCAGAACACACACCATGCACACTCGGCGACACACGCGGCTTACACACACCAAATAGATTGGCTTTGCTCACCTGTTTTAATTAACTTAAAGTTGACATTGTTCTGGGATTTGAAAGCCTCGTTCAAACTGCTGTGACTGTAATCCTTGAGCACGCCGTTGTAGGACGCCATGCTGCCGCCCTGGGGGCTAAGGGCACCACCGCGTGGTCCCCTCCACCCGAAGATCCTCCTACGACTTCTTCGACCACTTGAAGATTTTACCGAAGAACCTGTTTCAGCAGCATCGAAAAATATCTTATTGTAATTTCAATTTTATTTAAGGCATAAGCAAAAAATTAATCAAACAATTAAAGAGAGAAAACAAACAGAAGAACGCAACGCAAATTCCAAACAAAACAAAACAAACCGAATTGAAGGCAAACAAATGAGGATTTATCAAAGCGAAATGTGATTTGATTTTCGGTAAATGGAATAAAGTATCCGTCGGGCAATGTCAGGAATTATTTTGGCCACGCCATGATAAATACACAAGTCACTTCAGTCCGCCGTCCCCACTGCTTTCGACCAATCAAACAGATCGCTGCCTTTTGTATTTATGCATAAATAATGAGTGGAGGCAGCACTTTCCACTGCCACATTTTCCTCGGTTTTTCCCTTTACTTTTCCTTCGCCTCCTTGGGCGGCTATTTTCGTTCGTTTTGTGTCGGAAATTTCGAGTGTTTCAGTCTCTAAGACAGCGCCTAAGCCTGAGTCCCATTACTAAAGTCAATACAAGGAAAAATGTACACTGGCTGTTGAAATTATACAACCGTCACACTAATAGAGGTTTCAGCATTGCTAAAATATTTTTAAAATTATTTTTATAATATTTACAGAAATTATTTGTTAACTGTTTGGGTTTTCTCTTTCCAACAAAATTTTGTAAAATTAATTTTAAATATTTTCAATGCAATTTGAATTTTTAAATAATTATGTATCAAGGTTTTAATGTCTCTAAATGACCAAGAACCAAAATCCCCTGTGAAAATCGCACCCTAATGCCATAATTTCCATCGCCACTGTATACTTATAGGATCCTCTCTCTAGTCCTTGCCTTTGGTCTTCAGGTCTTTCGGTCTGCCGCTGGCGGCCAAAGTCAAAGTTAGGCAGTTGGGCAGAGAGAGAGAGAGAGAGAGAGGGATGGGGGTGGTAGGGAGTCCCCTCATTTAAAATTCAATCAATAAATGAAGCGTAATTTCATTGCCGCGCGGCAAAAGTCGAGATTTGGCTTGAACGCACACTGAAAACGCTCGAGGGCCTGTTCGATTCGTGTGTTTCGTGATTGTTTCAGGAGGACTCCCGGCACTCAGCTCAGTCCCTCCTTCCCATTAGTGTCCAAGTGTCCAAAGTGTCTGTCTGTTTTGGCTGGCTGTCTTTGGGTTTGACTCAGTCGTGTTTGTTTTGCACACAACGCTCACACGAGACTCAATTACTGTCCAAATGAAATATGTAGGAGCTGCATTGCTCTCGCCCACGAAAGTATGCTATGGGAATTATTAAGGGACCGCGCTGCATGAAATGGTCGGCCAGCTGTCGCATCCTTTTAGCCCCAATCCAGTCCAATTTGAGAGGCGGAATAAACAAGAGGGGCGTGTCCGAGATTGCCAGCGATCACGTAGCTCTTGATTTACTTTTGCCGTCGGTCATCAAATTTGCCGCGCTGTGTGAACTTTTAAATGAATTCGAGTGGGCGGAGGTCCTGGGAGGCCTCACAAGCTCACGTGCCAGCTGCAAGGATGTCGTTATCGTTGTTGTTGATTACACTTCACGCGCTGCTAAGCTGACATTCATTTCGGGGGACCGACAGTCGCAGCAGGATGTGCGGCTGCTGCTGTTCCAGCTGTGGCTCCTTGGTGGGGTGGGTCCTGGGTCCTTTCCTTCAAGGAATTATGTGCGTGCTCGTGCCTGGCAGTTGCACTTCCAGTTGCAGTCGCTGTTTGCAGTTTGCAGTTTTGCAGTTTGCATCACTCCAGGTAATCCAATTATGCATGCAAGGAACACCTTTGGCTCGACTCAAGCGATAAGGCATCGCGGCGATGAATACGCAAGCATCCTAAGCTCTTTAAGTCCCGATGCCCCTAAGTGTGTGTGTGTTTAGTACCAAAAAGTTAACCAAGCGAGGACAGAACAAGGATGGGAATGCAAGCAAACTTTGGCTGAGCCAAAGGTGACAGAAATATATCCTTGGAAACCCTGAGGGGCTATTGTGCGAGGCTTTGACAATTTTTCCTTTGTGAGAATTTTTTTTATTATTTTATTTGCAATTTATTATTGCAAGGCTTTGACAATTTTTGTTTGTTGGAATTTTATTACATTATTTTATGAGCAATTTATTATTGAAGAAATCAATTGGAAAGTTGAATTAATATTTTAAATTATATTTTTAATATTGAAAAGGTAAGCGGACATAATCTAAGTAAGAAAATAAGTTTAATACTCAATTAACATTCTTAAATCTTGTCTTAGAGGAGCTATTATTTAACGTTTTTTCTCATGGAAAGAGTTTCCTTTTGAATTTCTAGTTATTTCTTTCATTAAAAGCTTCAAATTATAAGTTACATAATAGTTTTAAATCTTATTATAAGCATTCAAAACTGAAAGCTCTATTAAACGGACATAATCAGGGTATTTTTATTTCCTCTCAATTCAATAATCATTTCCTAGCTTCCATCATTAAATATGCTCCTTCCAGAGACACACAATGCACACCAAGGATATGCCAGGATAAATGCAGGACTCAACGCAACTTGAAAACTCCAAAACATAACTCAAACTGCGGTTTCAAACTTGCAGCAGATGTAAAGTTTGCTTTTAATTAAGGAGCTTGTTCCGACTCTAACTTCCAACGAATGCAATTTGCATAAAACTGAATATTTACGCCAGTTTAAGGGAATTTCTTGGTTTTATGAAAAGCTCAAGTTAAAAACTTTAAGAGTAAGCGAATTCCCCCGAAAGTGAAAGCCGGAACAGCCCCCAAGATATGTTATGGCAATCATCTGTAGGCTGCTCTACGAGACGCGCGGCAAGACAACTGTAAACGATTCGATTAGCAGGTGCTAGAGTAGACTTGGAAGGCACCTGTCACCTTTGGAGGGCGCTCCGGCTGTACTGCCACCACCGCTGCCGCCGCCGCCGCCACTGGCGCCTGTAGCTCCATCGCACTGATCCGCACTCCGGGATCTGGCGCCGGCCATTCTCTCACGCTCCTCCTTGGGCGACCTGGCAAATAATCCTCCTCCGCCGCTGCCGCCTCTGCCCTTGCCGGCGGGACTCCGCGTCCGCGGTGAGTCATAGACCCCCGCATAGTTCTCCAGGGGCAGGGGCGGCGAGTAACCCCTGCTGTCCGCCGGCGCCGTGTGAGGCGTGCGCGGCTGTACCTTGATGACCGGCTCGCGGGCCTCGAAGAATGCATCGAAGTTGTTCTGGCGCAGATTCTCGCTGCTGAATACCGGATTCTCCACGTGCACGTGTACGTCCTCGCGCAGTCTGTTGCTCTCCTTGGTGTCCGAGGAGCTGGATCGCCCCAGTCGTCCCAGCGGCAGATGGAGCTTGGGTCGCAGCCGTGACTTGCCGCCGGTGGGTGACTTGCTACCGGGTCCGCTGGGCGCTGGTGACCGTTCCGGTGGCAAATCCATGGGCGACATGGGACGACCCCATCCTGGCCCAAAGTGGGCATGCGTGGGATCTGGCGTTGGTGGCTCCAAAAAGATACTGGGACTCCTCGAACGCAGATCGCCATACTCTAATGCTCCCGCCTCCTCGTACGCTGCGCTGCTGCGCTGGAATGGTGCTCGTCCTGGTCCAGTGGCACTGCTCCCCCCCGGCAACTGGCTGGCATCATCATAGTCATTATACATCGACGCAGCAGGCGGGCGCTGGTAGTTCCTCCGGAGGCTGCTCCGCTTCGTGGAGCCCTGGTTGGAGAGGTTCGAGTGGTTGGAGTGGGTCAGGGAGGCGCGCGATGTCCGGCGGGTGGGCGTGGGCGGTAGGCTCTGGGATTGGGATTGGGTGGGTGACTGAGAAAGAGGCGGATACTGAGACTGATACTGGTACGGGCTCTGCACCAGCGGTGGCTCCTCGAAGTTGAAGAAGTTGCCTCCGTTGGGGCTGAGGGCAGTGGGTGATCCTGGATAGCTGAAGAGCGGCGAGGCGGGCGGGGAACCTGGATAGGAAGAGGCTAAAACCGGCGAAGCAGTTGCTGGCAGCTGGTTGACAATGGGCGGAGTGTCCTCGAAGTGGACGACGGCGGCAACGGCGGCGGCGGCGGTGGTGGTGCTGGTTGAGGCGGCTCTGTTGGGGCTGCTGCTATTGATGGCGATTTTCCTCTGGGACCTTTCCGGAATCTCGATGGGCACGAGCGGCTCCCGGAGGCAGTCGAGTGTGGGTCGCGGTTTCACACGGGGCGCAAAGAAACCATAGGTCATACAGATGAGCTCATCGGCGGGATATATTACGTACATTCCTCACCGTCCCCATGTGGCATGGTGGCACTAGATCTAACCTGATCTTGACCAGATCTCGGAGACAGTCTAGGGTTTAGGTTCTATTTATCGGTGGTTTCGGTTCAGTACGGTCTTAGTCCTGGGAGTCCTGTGTCTTTTAAGGGGTTTCTCTGTTCGCAGTGCTGTCTGTCTTTTGTGGGTTTCGTCTAACTAAAGTTCGAGCTACCAAAATAATATATTCAGAGTGTTTACAGTATCTATTCGTAGGCGTAACTAGGGCTTAATTAACGTACTTTCTGCTACTCGGTTATATCACAAAGTGAGTTCACGTTTTATTTATTTCCCGGGAACGTGCTGTCATTTGGATCGCTGCATGTTTGCCCAAGACGATGATGCGATGCTGCAAGTAAGACAACAGAGAAAGATTAATTAGTCGTAATTACCGAGGGGGGGGATGTTAAATTTTGAGAAACACAAAACAAAAGTTTGGCCACAAAACAAAAAAAAAAGAAAGAACTGGCTGCAGCCTCATTAAAAACATTTCGCTCTTTGTGCCGCTCGGTCACTCATTCATGCGAGTGTTTCGCATTTTGCTCATTAAATTGTTTCGTTTTCCCGGGAAGAGCAGAAGTTACTGAGGTTTCGGGGTCGGGATTTGGGTCAAACTTCGGGACCCAAGTCTCTCCCCCTCACTCTGTGGAAGTTGGCGCAACAAAGTTTGGCACAAAGCAAATTTCTGGCCAGGTTTGCATGGCCAAGGCCAAGGCCCAAAGAACTCAGAGGTCCAGGTGGCTATTTGTATGGATGTTTAGGAGCAGAGAAACACGGAGAGAAATAATCTATTAAACTATTAAACTAGAAAATTGAGCATGGGTTTTTATAACTTTTAGGCTTGTTTATATATTTTGTGGATTAATACAATTTCTCCTTAATAATTTGCCACTTAAAATCCATTAAATACTTCTCTAAAAATCATAGATATATTATATATATTTAATCTTAATAATTACATAAAAACACTACAATTTCCTTTAGTTTTTCCAGTCACTTTTCTAGTCAAGTGACCCAGTCCAAGTCCACCCATCTATCGCTCACCATCTAATGGATGTGAGCTCTAACACAAATTAACAGGAATTGGCAATGACAGCCGGGGCTCAAAGTTGCCAGGTCCTCCTCCAGGACATCACTGTCTCCTCTTTCCTCCTTCTGCTCGAACAAAACTTGTGCGTGTTGAAACCTCTCTCGTGGACTGGGGGTGGGCGGGTCAAAATTACGAGCTCACCACATGCAAGGCTTATTATTATGCCATTTTATTGGCCAATCGATGGGCCCGTATCAATTAAATTTGCATTAAATATTCATGATAACCGATGGCTAACCGTTGCTTTAATTAACGGATCAGCATTAACTGAATGAGTGATAATAGTTGCCCATTGTCTTGTCCCGGTGACACCATAAATTACAGAGAGTGTATGGGATTTATTAGGATTTCTAGTGGTCCTTATGGAGGGTAACAGGGAACTAAGTTGGTTTATTGTTGAAATTTTTAAATACAAGTCTTTGAAACTTACTTCACTTTATATAATCTTATTATTAATATTATTTAATATTTTTATTATATAATATTTTAATAAGGAAAAATTCATGAACCCTCAACAGTAGACTTTCTCCAAGTTTCTTCTATATTTATATATATTTTACACCAAACAAAATCACTATAAAAATCCCAGTAATATAAACCTTTGACAAAGCTTTTCCAAGAAAAGAAAAGTATACTTTATAGGCTCAGAAAATCCCCAAATCCCCTCCTAAAAGTAAATCCCCTTCCGGTTTAGGTAAACATGTTCCCTCAACCCTTTCTAAGCTGCTCGTGTATATACGCTTCCATATGCTTTATTAGGGACTCCATTTATGATTTGCATAATTGATATATAATTGATACCGACCCAATCGAAATCACCTGTGGGCGAAGAGCAGGGGCAGTGAGAGAGACGGGGCGGGGCCTTGGCCGGCATTAAAATCGCATTACGCCAACTGAGGCATGGGGGGAAATCGGAATCGGAATCAGAATCGGCGAGATTAAATTCATATATCGCGCGAGCAGCGACCTTGCGTGTGCGTGTATGTGAAAATGAGGAAAAACCCAAAGGAAAAACTTACAAGAAGAATGCGAGATGAAGTGGAATGCGGGGGATTTTTTATAATTTTGCTCATTCTGCGGGGTATGAACAGCGCGAGTGAATTCAAGACAGAAATTGCATTTCATAAACGAGGGGGGGCTACGACTTGTGGCCAGGCGAACCCGAAAAGAAATCACGCAATTTAATTCAATGTGAATTATTTATTAGCTGCCAGATACTACGGTGCCGGGGCACAGCGGATGCCGTGTGGCACATGAATAATTCCTCCTATTTAATGCCGAGGCAGCAGCCTGTCCCGGCTTTGAAGGTTGCAAAGAGAGTGTGAGACTTGTGAGGATGGTAGCTGGCAATGACACTGCCCCACAATGTACGCAAATATTTCCTTTTCATCCGTTCGACTTTCCACTTTCCCCCCCGCCCGCCAACACACACACACACACACTCGCTTTCCCGGATAATTGAATTGTTTTGCTGCACTTTAGCAGCTCGTTAAATCTGTCAACATTGATCAATCAAAGCGGGCGCGGGCGAAAGGGATAGTGGGAGAGTGAAAGTGGGCGGGCCACAGGAGAAAGTTCCAGCAGCCGCCGGGCTTAAAGTTATAAAAGCAAAGTAGGAGCAGGAGCAGGGAAATGTCCTTTGCAAGCGACTGGCAGCATTTTAAAAGCATTTCACATTTCCCCTTACAGCAACAAAAGAAAAACAGAAGAGGAAAAAAAATGACACGACCATTAAATACCTGACCCTGCGGAAGCGAAAAGCATGGCATACTTTGTGGCGGCCACTATTTTAAAATTAGTAGAGTATTTGAAGGGAAAACTCACTGTAATTCCTACTGTCTTGAGATTAAATAAAAATATTACACGAACATGAAATACCAGACTCTCTTATTCAAGCTTTATTAGGTTTTTACAATCAAGAATAAATATACAATTTTTAGAGCCTGTAATACCTGCCCTCAGACCCCTAAAAACATTAAATACCCTAGTATTTTATTAAGAATTCATTTCATTTATTACTTTTTTTTAACTTTTTGCACTATTAACTACCTAATTACAAACCCAATATACCCCTTAACTCTCTCGAATCAATAAGTATTACAAACAGAAAGCAATTTTGCGAAAATGCAGAAACAGAAACAGCAGTCATTCTCAGCATGGCTGCCACCGATTGTTGCCTGCGAGCCATAAAAGTGCAAGCGTTGGCAATATTAAAATTAATTAACTGCAGGGAAACAATGAGCACGACAAGAAGTGACATTACGCTTATCAGCGAAGTGGCCAGAATGAGGAAGCTATATGGCAGCAAACAAAATGATATAAATAAATGCGCAGACAGAGACTATCTATCCCCGCCCTCTGGCCATTTGTCAAGCGAAACAGTGGCCAAGATGCTCCGATGCTCGGATGCTCGGATGCTCGGATGCTGAGCAATGCCCAGGAAAAGCCGGCCAACTAGAGGAAGCAAACTTGACTCAAGTGCATTGTCAAGGCGGGCAAAGAATATAGAATAAGAATACAGAGCAATGTGAAGGCGCCCATGCGATGCCATGCCATGCCATGCAACGCTCTCGGTCGGAGACATACATAATTACATGGCAGTGAGCCCAGAAGACGGCACATATTTATATTTAAAAGCATATAAACAAATGTATTATAGCGGGTCTGCATGCCGAGTTATTCGCTGCTGGCTATGAGACTACAAATTAACCAAATTCTTTGCGACTTTTGCGAATTGGGGAAAATACGGCAAAAACAGGCAAAGATCAAGGTAACTTGGCAACAACCCTTGACCCTGCTGCAAGCACTCGGCTAAAATCAAAAACTAATGGTCTAAATATAGAAAGCAAAAAGTATTTAAAGAGCAAAGAGAGTTGAAAACTGGGCTGCAAAACTAAACTACAACTTTAGCAATTAGAAAACTTTATTATTTCCATAGTTTAGCTAGAATCGGGGATTTTAATTCTGCATTAAGTTGAGAGTAATGAAAAGAGCAGAAATTATAATATTGTTTATTAAATTATAATAAAAAGCACAGCCAGTGAGGGTGCCTTTTCTAGCTACATAATTAATGTAGATTTATATCAATTAGTTTCTTCAGAGAATAAGATTAAGTACTACAATCAAGCATGTTGTTAATTCGACCATAAGCTTAAGGTACTTGAAAAATGCTCATTATTCCCAGCGCCAATCACCAGGGCAGTCCCTCATCAAATGGCTCAATCAATCTCATCTCAGCCAGCAATTTTCTACTTGAGCTGAGCAGCAGCAGCAGCCATTGTTACACGGCCAACAACAATACGGTTTGTCTGGGAGCCATAATTCGCCATAATTTCCATACACATTGAAATAATACCCAGCCATCACAATCAAAAGCAGATACACAGGCACAGATACAAAGATACAATCCAGGGATACACTAAAGCAGGTAGCATAGACATGTGATACTTATGCGAAAGGAAATTAGGTGAAGCAGATGGAAATGGAACTGGAGTTGGAGTTTGGGGAGGGGAAAGCAAGGAAAACAAAGCTGTCGAAAAGAGTAAACTCAATTTATGAGGAAAGCGTTCCAAGAGGCCAAACACGCAGTAGAAGCTATACAAATTGCGTATTCGCAACGTGGGCCCCATATACCGAATCAACCAAGCAGCAAAACCGACCGCCGAGGGTTGGCTTGGGTTTGGGCTTGGGTCCTGGATGGATGGCTCCCCACTCGAATTGAAATTCTGTCTGTCTGACATGCACACACCCACCGCTTCGCCGAAATTCGACATTTTTGGGGCCCTCAGCAAGCCCAGGGGTTGGAGTAGCACATTAGGCTAATTAAACAGAACCTGTCCATATAGCAGGCGGAAAAATCAACCTAAGGATAATAAATACAAGGTTGAAAAAGGTTTTTCTATGATGTGTTGAGGGGTGCGATGGGTTGTAAAAACAGAAATTAAATAAAATAATATGTTATAATGATATATAATAGAAAGAGACAGCACAGACACTCGACATATTATAGAATTATTTACCTAGAAAATGTATATTCAAAACAAGCAACTAATACCTTAATAAACTATAATATTTTGGTGAGTAAATTACCTTAATTTACACTTTACTTAAGTAATAATTCAGCTATAGAAAAATATTATTAAATATTTAAATCACCAGGGATTGTTAAACTCATAAAATGGTGTTAAAACCAGTAAATGAAAGCTGACTTTGGTAACTAAAAAATATATTTTATACATCTAAAATACTTCCAAAATCACTAGGGTTTTTTAAAACGAATAAAAATGTGTGTTAAAAATATATTTTATATATTTTATATATTTTTAAAGATTTAAAATATAACATATTAACTTTAGGCGTAAACAAATTCAGATTTCAAAGGGGAAATCCCTACCTAATACCCGAAATCAATATTTTAAATCTACAATTCAGTTTTACCGTTTCAAAAAGGCCAACTAAACATAAATTTAAGCATTCATTTTAGCATTATTAAATTAAACTCCATGAAATTCATATTAAATTATAAGCTCACCGTTTAGAGAATCTGCAGCAATGCTGAATCCTTGTTGAGTCGTTGGGCAGACATATTTTCGTACTGGGACTGTTGTTGTTTTAGTTTAACACAAATGTTGTTTTGTTTTGTTTACACAACACACGCACAACTCGCACACACTCACTGGGCACTGATATTGTCTGTCCAATTCACTGGATTGATGTGTGGCACATGTTTTTTTGGGTTGACTTTTGGGTTTGACTTTTGGTTTGGTTTCTGGTTTTAACTTGTGACTTAGTTTCGTTTCGTTAAGCTCGTTTCGAGTCGTTACAGTAGCACTTGCAAACGCGGGCACAACAAATAATAAATTATAATAATAATAATAATAAAAATAACAACAACAGGAACTACGACCGATCGACGACGAATTTAGACTGAGACTCGAGCAGCTGTAAGCATTGGGTTATTTTGACAATTTTTGTTTTTGTTCCGCCGCTGCTGCTCTTTCTTCTTGCTGTGCTTTCTCGCGATTTTCATGGCTGCTCTGATGATGTTGCTGCTGCTGCTGTTGCTGCTTCTACAGATGCTGTTGCTCCTGTTGCCGCTGGCATTTCGCATGTTGCTGCTGTTATGATATTATCATTCCTCTTCCATTTTTTGCACGCCAAGAGCCCGCTCGTTCGCCTGGGGTCAACGCGGCGTATGCGCGATTAGCTATTTATTTTATTGGTTCGCCCAGACCAGTTTATACCGCATCCGTGACGTCGCCGCAGCGCTTATCCAGCCAATGACGTCATGGCTGTCACAGCTGTCACGCGCAGAAAGTGTTCGAACACTATTTATAGATCGCACGGCCTCCGTCGCAATCCCCCCGCCAACGCCACCCGGCCGCATCAGCTGCTGCCGCTAATTTTTGCAAGTGTTTTTCTTTGCGCTTTTCTTAGGATCGCCTGAACCTGAAAATAGAAAAGCAGAAAAAAAGAGAGTGTGAGAGAGAGGGGGCGGTTTTGGGGGTGAGGCCGAGGTGGAAATTGTCGTTTTTGTGTGCGAAGCTCATTGAAATGTTTGCGCGTACTCAATTTTTATTCGCATCTAAATATATATATAAGTGTACGTAGTATACACGCGCGTATACTAGAGTTTTTTTTTTGCTCCCACAGAGAATGGCAATCGATTACTCATACGCCCCGAGAGCCAAGCATATGCGAAATGCAAATTAAATTGCATTCAAATGTTTTGTACACCCCAAAAAAAATTTGTCTCAATTATTATTTATGAGCCATTGCAGGAGCTTTAAAGGAGGAGCAATCATGACGCCCAAGTATCTAAATGATGCTTTTGAATATGTACAGTGTGAGCTTTATAAGGTGAATATTGCTTTAGATGAACTTAAAAATTAACTAAAAATTTTATGGGTATATATAAAACTGAGTGTTGTTGCTTTTCATTCTTTTATTAGGTATTCTTTAAGGTAAATATATAATTTATTTATATATTTACATGATCATTTTGGTGAATTTTAATTTAAAGCAACCTTTGGACTCGTTGAGTTCAGAAATAAAATGTAATAAAATTCGTATGCTATGTTCTTTATTATTTTATAGGCTTTATAAATATATCCTTCTTATATTAATATATTGTTTGCTTGTATTTATATATAATATTTATATTTGTTTTGATTTATCGACTTGAGAAAATTCTACGATTTAATTTAATGCAATCTTTGGACTCGATTTAGTACAGTGACCTGTATAAAATGAATAAAGTGCATTCAACCTATTATTTATTAATTTTTAATATTTTATAACATTTTTCTAAAGGAATTATATTTGTGCTGATTTATTTTTAAGCACTTAAAGACCCATTAAACCTTTAACTGGTTACTGGATTATTATCTTTTTATTATACAGTATTTTTAAGGACATTTATTCATTCATTTAACTTGTTTCTAGTCACTCGTACTTTAATACTCTCTATTTCCTGAGAAATATCTCCCTTGATTTCCCTCTAGCTATCTCTGCCACGCGCCAATTTCCCCCTAGAGTTAATTAAATCACACAGTGTCGTGCTTTTGATGTTCAGTTTTCCTTTAATTGCATTAAATTACTCAATGTGTTAACGTTGTCAGAATTCGCTATCCTTTATTCAGCATTCAGTCCTGCTCAGTAGCCACGACCACCCCGCGGTGGGTTTGGATTGTAGGGCGACGGCCTCGTATCGAAAATGGGTCCCTGCTGACGATGGGGCTCTGCAATGGTGAAAGGAGCCGTGGCAAGGACTCCCAGCAGGGCCAGGAAAATCGCTCCAAGATTGAGTTGCATCTTTGCTCGGTGACGGCAATTGATTGATGCTTTGAGCAGTGAGCTTGCGTAGCTTTTATAGCCAAGACGACGCGACGATTGGGGACTTTTTATTTGAGTTGCTGCTGCTGCGATAAGCAGCCGGAATGAATGACGGCCAAATGTCAGTCGAGGGCAGATAACCGATGGTGACCAAGGGGATCCCAGTCCCAGTCCCAGTCCCCTTCCTATTGCCTCTCTAATTCCCCATTGGGGCTTCCCACGGAAGCGGATTATCAGCCGGTGCAGAGCGTGGCTCAGACTAAATGTAAATATGACATTTCTCGCTGAATATTTATGCTTCCTGGGGGAGTCAGCCTTGGCTCCCCCTCAGTATAAATAACACTCGGCTTTAGCGCCTTGCCGACTTTTTCTGCATTGCAAATTACCCAACCTAGCCAACAGCCACTAAGGCATAGTCAACATGCGTCAACACACAGCCACCACGCCCACTGACAAGTGCAGCCCTTCCAGCAGCTACCTTTAAGAAAAGACACTCTAAAATAACAGGTATAACTTCAAGGGAAATTGGTAAAATTAATGAAAAATTGATTTTAATTGGAAAACCTTTAAGAAAACTAATTAAAAATATTTCTATAGACATTAAGTAAATATATCTCTTTGTTAGAACATTTATTTAACTAAATATTTGAATACTACTACTTAAATATTCCCCAGTGTATAGTACCTTCTAGGAAATGCTGCCCAGGAAGGGGTTTTCTGGGAGGTAAAGTGCAGCTGGTGCAGCACAGCAATTGCCCCTTGGCTCGATTAGAGCACTTTGTTAGTTTTCCTACAGCAGCCGCCCTCCTGGAAAAAGGAATGGGAAAAAGGGGGCGGGAATGGGATGTTGGCCTTTAAATGACTCGATACTGACATTTTGAGTAATTTTTCGCTTGCATTTCGTTATTTGTGTGTGCTTACTGCTCAGAGTTCTCAGAGTGAAAAGAGTTTATAGTCACGGCTCATTAGGCTTTAAAAACGCTTGACTCCCCCCTGGATTTATGGGGTCTTTTCAGGTTCCAGGGGGGAGGCAAGAAAGGGGCAAAGCTGCATTGATTGACGCAATTTCCGGTTCATCTGCTGCGCAAAACACCAGAAAGACAAACACGAGGTGCGGCGGTTTTTGGTGTACATTAAACATAAAAAATTGGCTTTGTTTATCAAATCGATTTGAATTGATTTTCGGTTTACAAATTCCCTTTATGTTCTCCTCTCTCCGACAGCAATAAATCAAATAAAAATCAAACAGAATTCTAAATAAAATTAATCCGTTTTCATGGTTAGCACATTAAAAAATAAATGTTTGGCTTTTGTGTACCAAAAGGAATGGATTCCGAATGTAAACAGTTTCGAAGGCAGGCAAATTGAGGCATTAGTCAATCAATCACTGCTGTTTCTCTCTCTCTCTACCTCCTGGCCCTGACGAGCAATGGCGGCGGCCAAGTCCCGAAACTAGGCTAAGAAATTTGAACTTAAAAAAAGGCAAAAATTTAACTTTTCCTCCACGTTTGCCATTTCGCTCGGCATTCAATTCGTTGCTGCGCCTGACATTTTGAAATGTTTCTTGCAAATCGCTGTTGAGCAGGCTAAGCCCAAGTGCCACGCCCCTCCTGGCCGCCCGCCGCCACAGCCCCCGGGGCTAACGACCGTAACAAGAGTAACAGCCCAAGTAAGCCCATAACGAAAAAAATAAACTAAAAATACTTGACTTGGATGTTATGACTAGAAGATACTGTAGGCTTTTTGGGAGTTTTTATTAATAGAATAAAAATAAATTGCACTATTTTTTGTTATTTTTATTATTATTATTTTGTTATTATTATTTTTTTATATTATAATACAACAAATTCAACAAAAAATATGGAGTATTTATTAATTTCAAACTCAATCTCGATCTTTTCAGGTAGTATAACCATTATATTTCATTACGATCCAACCCTTTTATGCTTTCTATATACTTCACATAATCAAAAATACCTCTACTTACTACTCAACAAATATACCCCTCCTCCAAGAAATCCCTAGGTATCATAACCACTCCTCCTCCGTTCCCGTCAAGAAAAAGCAATGTTAAAATTTTTTTTTTTTTTGAAAAATCGCAGTGCTATGAGCAGTTGAATTTGAGCCGATAAGAGCCACCAGCCGAATGGAGGCAATTCAATTGAAAAAACATGAAAAGTTGTCAACCTGCAGAGTGGCGGAAAATGTTTTCGCACACCGCTCACCGTTCATAGACGTTCCTAGGAAACGAATACCGCCGGCCCGAAGGTAAAACACTCGACTCTGAAGCTCTTTTGAGCCAAATCGATACGGCCTTGACGTCGTCGTGACAGCTGAGAAATCATTAAAAAATAGAAATTCTAATTATGTGTGGCAACATTGAAACGTAAATATATATTTTGCAGATTCATCACGAAATCAACGCGAGTTCATTGTTTTCGCATTTCAAAGCGAAAATCCCTGACAGCTGATGGACAAACTTTTATCAGCCAATAAACCCAAGTTGGGCCAACGAAGCATGAATATTCTTCTCTCTTTTAGCTCGGTAAATCTCAATGAAATTCTGGGGAAAATATAATTGGGATTAATACCAATTGCGCCTTGACAGCTTAATGCATTTTGGCTTAACAAACTACGCTGTTGTTAAGCTCCCAATAAATTTATAAACATTTATGTTCTGGTCAAGCGGGGCTTCTTCTTTTCTTCTGCTGAAAAAATACAAATTAATGTAGTGTGTGGGTGGGCAATCGGATAATGGCAACGGGAACATGAAAAACTAATTAAATAACCAAGTGAAAAGTTCAAACCAAAATAAATATCTGGCCATCATTAAGCTTTTTAGTTATTTCTGTTGAATTTCAGTTTGAAATATGACTCTCATTCGACGAAAAGTAATTTATAAATTTAGCATGTAATACGGGCTTTTCAGTTTATTATTGCCAGGCTGACGACTCCGGGCGAGGAAAATTCATAACTCAGGGACACGGCTCAATAAAATGCCAGCTGGAATTACTCGGAAATGCAAAAGGAAACCCGGCAGGCAGCATCCCCAAAAATAGGCAGCCTCGTAAATATGCATTTTACTCTTGCAGGAGGCAATCATAAATAAGCTCCCGGGGAAAGGTAACCCGAAGCCAGCAGGAGGAGAAGGAGCTATTCTGGCGAGCTTGAAACAAGAATACAAAGTTCATTAAATACGTATGAGTGAGTGAGGAGACCCAGACCCGGAGATATGCACAGATGGAGGCTGGAATTCTGGCGGGGCACTAAATGCCAGTTGCTCGTCCCGAAAATGGCTGCCATAAATGCGCCAGCTCATTTGGGGGGTGGTGGAAATGGTGGAAATAGGAGCAAAGCACGGGAGTCGGGGGAATGGAAATGAGGTAAATGCTTCTGTTCCTGCCCAGGTCCTGCCCCAAATGTTATTCAGACAAGATGAAGCACTTAGAAATACGTTGTGCGATGTCAGCATCCAGCGGGAGGAGGCAGCACTACGGAAGTGGAGTGGGAGTGGGAGTGGGGATGGCTGCCACATCCCTCTCTCGGGTATCATATTCGCTTTGTCTGTGCCCGTCCCGGACGGACAGGTGATAATGAACACACTTAGAACCCCGAGCACACTCGCACACACTCCCTCTTTGGCGCACATGTTGCTATTTAAGCAGTTAATGACGCGTTTAAAGCTAAATGCCAACCGCAAAGCCTCGTCGACTACTCTTTTATTAACTTTTGCAATTTCTTTAACGGTCTTTTTCGGCCTCCCCCAGGCTCTAGAGCACCAAAATGCCTTTGTTTCGCTAGGAATTCCTCAAAAATTGCCCAACTCGGGGCATATTTGCTTTGCTGATTATTATTATTATTACTGAAAAGCCAACAAGAGCTACATTTCAAATATGATAAATGAGAGAGAAGGTTACATTATGCATATAATAAATTAATATTAACAATGATTACCTTTTTAAATTAGAACATGAGTATGGAAATTAAGTTTAATAAATGTTTAAAATTGGTTTTAATAGGAAAAGGGAGCACTTATTTATTTTATTGATCAAAATAAATATAAAAAATCTTAAGTTTATGTTAAACTCCTTTAAACTTAAACAATTAAATTATAAAAATGTATTTTGGTTTGTTTTTAAATATTATTTAATGTAAATAATGACCAAATACAATTCAAAACTGATTTTTTTTTTTTTAATATATATATTGTTTTACAAAATGTAAAATTTTTTAAAAAGAGTTACTTAAATCCTCCCCATTTTCCCTACAGGTAATCAAATATTCGAAACCCTAACCCAACGTTTCCATTTACGGCGCGTGTTTGTTTAGCCAAACCTTCGGGAACATATATCTCGTTACAAGGCAGCGGCGGTTTCTATTGCCAGGAGTGCCTCCTGCTCCTGCCTCCTGCCTACTGTGAAAATATTTTTGTTTGTCTTTCCGGCATGAACGAAAGCCATAATTTTACCCTAGCTATCCTGACAGTTAATCAAAACTGGCAGATGTAGGCAGGAACCCAGGAAGCTAAGGTATCACTCAAAAATGCTGCTCCAGCTTTAGACGGGAAATTCGATTTGGCCTTTATTGAGATGCCTTGTGATTGCCACACGTCACACGGCGGCGCCCAGGACGTGCTGCCAATTTTTGTGTGTGTGTGTGAGCCCCCCATCAAGGTGGAACTAAGACCACCTGGCACATGTCAGAGGGCACACAAAGTGGCCCGGAAAAATCACAAGCACAAAAGGCTGGGACAATGTTCTCTTTGTTGGTCAGGCCCGGTGATTGTTTCCTCTGTGCGTATACGCAATGTCAAAGTGGCAGCAGCGTGTCCAGAGGCAGTGTACATTGCGTATACGCCGTGTTTGATGGACAAAGCCATCGTAAATCTAATTAAATTTCACACAGCTGTCCAAACACCGAAGCGGACACTTGTTGGCATACGGAATTTGCGGAAAAGCCCCCAAAGTTAAATAACAGCAGAAGGACCTACCTACCGCCGCATCGATAGCCATCGG